ATGCATGCAATATGCACAAGCGGACTTGGGAGGGCTTCACCCCGCGCGAGGGCGCAGTCTTCTTGTTGGCACCGAGGAGTTCATCGTCAAGCTAACAATTGCCATCAACGATTGCCATCATATTCTTCGATGAGTGACATCAGCCGTCCAACCCGAGGGCGGGGCCATACATGTACGTATCGACTTGAAACTTGAAACAGACGAACCAGAGAGGATAGGAGCCTGTCCCGTCTCCTGTTCTATCCCTGTTTACCTAGCAGCTAGGTACCTACCCACGCTCACAGCTTTTTGCGATCTGAAAACACTTCGTGCACCGGAGCAAAATATCCGCTATGTGTTTAATCCATGTTAGTACCGATACTTGGAGCCCTAACAATTTTCTCGGACTGAGGCTTGACCATTCATGTTACTAGTCCAGTGTGGCGATGTGGCTTGACCAACAATTTCTCACCCATGCCCGAGGCCCCGGTATCTCTGCTCCTCGTCATTTCCTTTATTCCTTTCTATCAACATTTGCCTCACTTCAATCCGTTCTCCGATTCCAGCACATAAGCCATCTGACGTGGATGGCCCCTCAGACTGAACGAAGGCTTTGGCCAGAACGCGGTGGCCCAAGTCTAAAGTGGCCGGCCTCAATGGCTCAAAGGAGTTAGCCTTGTCTTTCCCCGCTGCTGATCACGGCCTAAAAACCTCAGAATATTACTGCGGAATTACGTATGCCATTTCAAATCCGATTCTTTCGAAATGCCATCCCAACAATCATGGGATTTGCAACCGAACCATTTGATGCCAAGCTTTTCTGATTGATTTGTTGTTGTCTTATGTACAGTACCATACCATACTGGCAGACTGGGTAACCCGCCCTTCAGAGTTTTCCATTGGGTATTGGAGCGGCCCCCGACTCCCACGTACCTAGACGTTCCATGTTTGCTTGTGATTTCTTGCCACCATCTCATAGCTGAACCAAGGTGGTGGGCTTTTACCTTAGTAAACTATCTACATACAGTACCTACTGGAACCCCTTGCGTGGAGCGGTAGATACAGTACATAGTAGCTCTCAAATTCTCGACGGGATCTTCTCGGCTTACGACAGGCTTGCTATTTGCACAGTCTCTCCCAAGGCACTTTGGGCCAACGAGTCATCTATTATCCTAGCAATTGTCCCGAGATCTGTCGAGATTTCACTCGTCTATCTAACCCAACCTCATCACTATCCTTCGCCGGTACAAAACTAGGGATCCCGTTAGACAGTCGTTGACGATCTTCAGGGCATTCAAATAGATAGAGAAAATGTCACCCAGTTCCCTGCAACATATCCCGAGATCTCTGATACAACACCTAAAGATCTCTAGGCCATAGGGGAGTTTTCTAGGATGCGGAGCCCATCTCCATTAAAACCCGCGTCCCCATCAATGATCCAAGTCAGTTCCGGCTACTATCTAAAATGGCCGATAGAGCTAGTTATTAGGGTACTGTCACGTACGTTCACAATTAGGTTACGACAATCATCTGTCTACGTGCATTGAGCACGCCTATTGCGCCAGAGTCTGTACCAACCTTATTCGTTGGAAAGCCCAGCATAGCAGATTGAAAAGCCCAGAGAGATGACAATAGGTAGTGCCAACGAGAAACTAACAGCGTCAATCAGTTTGTCGAATGGGTATGGTGTCATGTGCGTATTGACAAATACGTAGGTTGGTGATATCTTAGATTTCTAATTTCAAAACAACCGGCTTTCATAACACCAAGTCTGATAATTCGAAGACGATAATTAATAATACACATTGCTGTGCTAATCTCCTGTGGCCCGGGTGGACGCTGCAAATTTTGAGCTCGTGACACATCAGGACTTGGTTGGTGATAAGGGAAGTGCGGCGGGCTTCACCTCAAATTTGTCCCATTACACTTCTGACAACTCTAGAGTCGCGACTATAAACAATTGAGGACCGTAAAGTCCCCGATGCTATCGGCCGACAGTAGCTCGAAGTCTCTCGACTCAGACCTGGGGCCAGACGCTAGGCTCCATAGGCACGTTCAAGTCTTCCGCAGCTGTTTACACCTCCTGCTGGACTGTCTATATTGAGGAGTGGCGAGAACTCCCAGTACTAACTCTGGGGCTCCAATGATTGCGAGCCTCTGTCGGGACCATGAGCTACGAGCAGTGTGACGAATCTGCGTCGTCTACTCCCCTTCGCTACATAACAATAGATCCAGATCTTAGCATAAGCGCGAAAGTCGACCCCAGATCGCCCTAACTATCGGTGCTCGATAGAGTTCAAATACTTGATGTAACTAATATCTAGGGGCTTGGCTAAAAAGGATCGCCCAGGCCAGAATCTTCCAGCTCCAGAATCCAGATATCCATCCGACTGTATCTCCCTCAGATCGAATCCACCCCACGAATATCAAGGAACCCAGACTTGGGCTATTTGGCTAAAGTTAGGCACGATTCCTACAGTACCCAAGGTATGTGTAACTGCGCTATCTGGGTGGTCCGTGTCAATTCCATCGCTCAACTCATAGTATTCAGGTTATTTGAGTTTCGGACCCGGCCCGCCAGCTCCATCACGGTTTAGTTTCGGTCTCTCTACGCGCGACTCATGGAATAAGAAACGATAGAGGACATGTGAGCGAGCCTAGCAACTCCCGAATTCGAGTCACCAGTCAACCCGTATTCGTGTTGCGGTATGGCTGAACATGTCTCTGCCCTATACTATCCGCAGCAAAGTTGTGCTACTCCTCCTGGGATTAGAGTTACGAGCTGGTTCAAAGCATGAAGGCCACGATGGTCACTATCACTCTTACACGGATGATCGTCAACGGCGGGATCGTTACGATTGGTCTATGTCACAGAATTTTTAAGGTATTGTACCAACAATGCTCTGTGTAAAGCTCGTAAGCCTTTGGCATAGCAGGATATGGCCCCGTTTCACTCCAGCGTAACGATGTTCGTATGTATCGATTCTTGTTACTCATAATATCAGATCGAGATTGGCTGCGAGACGACGGCGATCTCTTCAACCGAGAGATCAGCGTGGCCCTCTGCAACCGACACGCCAGAAAAACACGGGAACGATTAAATCTTCTAGTAGCATTGGTAAGTGTCCATGAGATCCCATGATACCGGGTACCCAGGCAGCACACAAGACAGTCATAGCACCAACGGTATTGATTTCCGCCAGGCTTCCTGAACACCTCAGGGCAACACGATTCTAGGCTGGGTGATGTATGTTTTCTTGTCAACTCTCCTTCTGAATACGTCACGAGAATATACCTGCCTGGCCCTATTCGCCTAGCCCAGAATGACTGCAACATCCACTATCGTACCACCGCGTCGCCTCTCGGACAAGACATTACAGGTCTCTCGATAACTTTCTTTGTAACGCCCGTATCGCCGACCCATTCAAATGCTCGAAGCATGCCAGGGAATGAACGGAAGTCGACCTCGATCTCGACGTCCGCAGTAGCCAGCCTACGTAGGTAGCGACAGAGGAAGAGTACTCGTCTCGCACCCTACCTGGGTATCTAGACCACCCAGGTTAACAGGCCAACGTACCAGATCTATCGCCGGCACTGTCACTCACGGCCTCCAACTAGGCGAGCGGGCAGCCAAGCCAACGGCGCGTGGCAGTCACTTCTCAGGCGGCGTCGGGTCGGGTTGCTCTGCTCCGGTATCAGCCGGTGTCCGTGCGAAACCTTGGACCGAGGCTACGCGAAGGGAAGACGTCGACGTCGACAGGCGGCTACAAAGCCGCCCTGTGCTGGTAGGTGCGGGACCAGTAGGTACTTAGCTGGGGTGGCTGCGGCGCTACCCTGTCTGTGCCTATGCCTGACTCCTAAGCGCCCCCGCACCGCTCGACGCGGATCGGACAGGGTTCCTTCGTACGATACGAGCGGCTCGTGTACCTACTGCGTCCGGGCGATGTGTGGTTGTGCTGGCAGGTTCGTACACTCGGCCGCCACTCAGGTGCCGTGGTGCCCAGTGCCGGAGCATGTGCGGCGTCGGGAAGAGGGCATTCGCGTTAGGTAGGTCGTTGAAGGGCTCTCGCCGCCGGGCATACTCTGGGTCGTGCTTCGGCGTGTGGTGTTGCGAAGGTGCGGATACTCAATCTGTGGTTGTCGTCGGTCCTGTTCCATCTTCGGCTCGCTCGTCCTAGCCGCGCTTAGGCTTGTCCATCGGGGCCCCGTGCAAGTGACGTAGGTGGATCCCGTAGACAAGTAGTGTGTTTCTTACCTTCCCATCGCTCTGTCCTGCTTGAGGAGGGGTCGGGATTGATGAGTATCGTGAGCTGTGCTACGACTGTATTGCTTTCCCGATCTGCTTGATTCATATAGTGCGCTCAACCTTGATGTTCATTTGCTCTACGTCGGCTAGGGAATTAAGGAAAGTTAGTAAGTGCGACGTGCGACGTTACGGCTTGCCGCCTCTGTTGGCACCTCGCTGGGCTTGAAACGGGAAGCCAAAATGCAGAGATCACCAACTGACTGATTTCTATTATGTGTATTGCAGTATACATATGTCTGTCTGTCGTGCCTATCCGGCCAGCAATCCGATCTTATGATACGAAACACGAGATGAGTGGTCTACTTATCCTATCCACGCCCGGCTCCAAAACGCTTGTTCGGCCGTTGGTCGACTTCATTCAATTAGGTGAAGAAGATGTTACGCTTTTCTCTATACTTCCAGGAAAGAACGTCTGGTAGATTGGGTATGTATGGCTGCGGCCAGTTGTGAAATGCGCGGACGACGCTGTATCTGATGGATGCCATTTCGCTGTAGAAATGGCTGGCTGCTGCAAGAATAACGCAGCGGATCAACCAAGTGGGCATGACCTTTGTATGTAAACAAGAAGAAGAAAAAAAAATCTTTGTGTGTCTGAAAGTGACGCATTGATGATAGTAGTACAAGTACTACTATTAGAAAAAGTGTCAAAGAAAAAAAATTGGATAATTTTCATGTGAGTTGCAAACCTCAGTGAACTGAGGAGCATCAGGAATTGAGCCCGATGCGGGGGTCGAACCTATGACAGGAAGGTTAATACAGGCGCGTGGTGTGAAGCTGAGTCATATAGACTTACCCGCAACCTTGAGATTAAGAGTCTCACGCTCTACCGATTGAGCTAACCGGGCTGAGCTCGTTGAGTAACCTCGTTTGCTATGGTGCACTATATTGAAGAAAGGTTAGTGGGGTTGTGGCTGGGCCAATGGTAGTGCTTCAGGAACAATTAATCAGCTGGATAAATCATAGGTTTGCTGCTATACCGATATGTTGTGGTACCCAGACTGAAGTAGGATAGGTGATTTAGAACAGACGAAGAACAAGCTAGAAGAAATACTTGTAGATGCACTGCTATGGTATAATCTAGGTAGATAGGTAGAGGGACCAGGTAGTGTGACAGGGTGGTGGTATGAGCTCATCTCAAACGCCCATTATCGATTCAAGACTTAAAGATATAATGAAATATTATCGGTGGAAGCTATAAGACTTTAGTAAGCCTGATAGGCTGTTTGTGCTCCAGCGAGACATTTCATGGAGATGTTCTACTCTCTCCTCTAGGTATGGTATCTATCTACCTAATTATGTAAGGACTAGGCCCGCGACGTGAAGGATGTCGAATTTGGACGTTAGAACTGAGTGCGGTCTATTCGCTTAACATACATATTATAGATTAGCTTGCATCTCCGAGAAATCTGCACTGAGAAGCATATGGAAGGGACTCGTCCTTCTCTGGCTTATGCGAAGGTGGCTTGGTTCAGTAGCTCGGTGCCCTTTCTGTACGCAGACTTCCCAGTCCAACTTTCGAAAACCAGGGGATGGACGGTATTGAATACTGGGCCATCGCCAATTTGAATCCTCCTCATAGAGAGGGCTTGCACATGAACGGAGATAAAAGAAAACCGCCCGAAGTCCCCCAGGATATACTCGAAACTCACTTCTCATCGAAGGTGTGGAGGTTTCTCCTTTTGGGAATCCCGTGGATGTTACTACATCGTCATGTTGGCTGTTTTGCATCCCCTAACAGACGCACCATAAACAATGATCTTTCTGCATGTTCGTTGACACGGTATGAAACCATCTAGTATGGCGATATTAGAGGCATACCCAAGGTATCGAGTCATGCCATTCAACCTTCCGATATTAGCAAGCAGATACACATCTAACTCCTATCCGAGTTCTGTTGGCCCAGCCTAAATACGTATCGAGGTATGTCAACTATCCAGTTTCAACCCAATGGCACACCCCAAATCTACAAAGGCACCACTTCCCTGCCCACCTCCCCCAGCGCCGCAAACAAACCCTCTACAGTACTCCTCAGCGTCTGGCAGTTAACCACGACCCGGAAAAAGCTGCCTCTCTCGCCCGGCGCGTAATCGATCATGAAGCCCCTGTCCAAGAGCCTATCCACCATCCGCCTCGTCCTACGCGTGTTCTCCTCTGCATTCTCGGACATCGCCCTGCCTGGCGCGTAGTAGAAGCACACCTGCAGACACGGCGGCGGGTTCTCGGATAGGAGCACGAAGTCCACCGAGCTCTGGACAAGGGACGCGAGGTGCCCGGCCGCAGCGAACGCGCGGTCGACGGCAGCCGCGAACCCCGACGTCCCATAGTATATCCAAGCGAGCGCCAGATTAAGCGCGTCACCACGACGCCCACACTGCAGCGTCAGATCTGCCAGGTCCCAGACCTCCTCGTCCTCGTCCTCGTCCCCGTCCCCGTCCCTGTCGTGGAACAGGTATCCCGCGCGTAGGGTGTTCGCGTGCTGGAACACCGCGACGTCGTTCGTGAGCAGGAACGAGCAGGGCAGGGGCACATTGAGCATCTTATGCGGGTTCACCGTCAGCGAGTCGGCGAGCGCCGAGCCGTCCAGCTTGTGCCGCTGCGCGTCCGAAAAGATGGCCGGCCCGCCCCACGACCCGTCGATGTGCAGCCAGACCCCGGACTCACGGCAGATCGGCGCTATCTCGCTGAACGGGTCGTACGACCCCCAGACGGTGGTGCCGGCCGTGGCGTTGACGTACAGCGGCGTCCTGCCCTGGGCCCGGGCGGACGCGATGGCATCGCGCAGCGCGGACGGCACCATACGGCCGCCGCCGTCGACGGCTACCTTGACTACGCTGGATGACCCCATGCCGCAGGCCACGGCGGCCTTCTCGACCGAGTAGTGCCCGTGCTCGCTAGTGAAGAGGGCGAAGCGGCGGCCCGCGCTGCCGTCGGTCTTGGTCTCCGGAAATAGCGTGTTCCGCGCGATCACTAGCGAGGTCAGATTGGATGCGCTGCCGCCTTGGCAGGTTACGCCGCCGGCCCTGGGCCCGGTGAACCCGAAGAGGCTGGCTAGCCTGCGTGCGGCGGTCTTCTCGATTATGGTAAGTGCGGGCGAGGTCTTGTATATGTGGACCTGCGATGTGTTAGGTACCTACCCAGAGAATAGGGTAGGAGAGGGGCGGGTAGAGATCGGGATTGGCGGGCTTACGTTGGTGTTGAGCGTTGCTAGGACGAGCTCCGAGGCCAAACCAACCTACGTAGTGGTATGAGTAACGGACGAGCCTGGTATATGTTGTGGAAAGATGAGCGACTTACCGGGTTGATGCTCGAGTATAACTTGTCTAGAAAGCCTTGATCCCAAGTATTCACGCTGTACCGTAGGATAGTCTGGATGATATTCAGCAGTCCTTCCTTCCCAAAGCCAGCATCGGGCATTGATATGCCCAGTTTCTTCACTAAGTCTTCTGGTCTGTGTAAATCTACTAGAGTATTGCGACCTGGTGCTCCTTTTTTATCGGCACTTATATGGCCACTGGCTCGACTTGAGGCTGCGTTGTCTGCATCCCGGATGAAAGGCACGATGAGAGATTTGACCGCATCAATTAGCTATGGACAAATTAATCATGGCTAGCTGTGAGGTCAAAAGTGGTGAGAAGGCTGCATCAGACTTGACTTACATCTTCAACTTCAACTGCTCTATTTAACTCGGATTCTCCGGGGCTGTTTTGCCCGTTGGCTTTAATTTGGGAAGACATCTCTGATGGCAGTTTGTAGATAGAAGCCGTATCATGAATTAGGAAAATGAATGTCTATCTGAAAACTTAAGAAATGGTTCTACAGTATGTCCAGGAGTGGTTGAGAGAGGTAGGTATTCAACTTCCTTTTCTGTCGATGCGACTTACTTGCCTCACTCGTTAATAGCCGGGACTCCACAGCGGGTTTCGCACTACTACCTAACCTAGGTACTTGACGAAGGCGATGGCGTGCTTGCTCAGCTTCTGAATGTATTGGACAAATAAGAAGGTAAGTATTCAGACAGCATATGCTAGAAGTAGTAGCTGATTCCTCAAAAGTTCTGGCCGTTGACGATGTATTACCTGTGTGCTCACTTACTACCTCTGAAGACGTTATTGGGAAAATAATAAAAGCAATGCAATGACGTTATCACACACTTCTAAGAGTATAGATACCTAATATCACAAAACCCGTAGGCCATCTTATTCTCAACAGTGCTGTGCTCACTCGGTCAGCTCGGTGCAGTTATAGATCTTTCGGAAAGAGGACCTCCAGGATTAGGAGTCCATAATATGTGAATACCGCCAATTTCATCCTAATTCGTACAGATGCAATGATTTCCCAGGGATTGTCCGCGATCGAATCTCATGCCGTATAATAGAACAGAACCTTGTTTACGCCAGAGGAAAAGGTATCATTCATTCCGTCCCATCCAATCCGTTTGCATCGTATCCTCGTAGTGCTCTTTAGTCGACTCGCGTCTTGGTATCAGCCGTCTCTGCTCCGTTTTGTTCGGCCGCTTTTCCATTGCCAGTTCCTATATCGCCGTCACCTCCATCTTCGTCCCATGCATCTACCGCATTCTCGTCCCAGTTGTCAACTTCTTCCTCTAACGTGGCAGCCCGCTCATTCCCAGCAGCCGACATGACACCCTCCTCTTGCAGACCAACACTTCCACCGAGCTCCAGGTCATCGACATCTTCGCCAGGAACGGCGTTGTACTGTCGGCGTTGTCGTTTCCTCTCAAGCATCCGAAGGTGGTACCAGGAGCATATGCCGAGCGCTGCCGAGCTGCCGACGACGTTGGCGACAATGTCGTAGAGATCAAACTCGCGCCCGTTGGGCAAGAACCCTTGCAGGAACTCGGAACCGAAACCAAGACATATTGTGCATACGACGATGGTAATGTTGAGGGTGCGGCGGCGGTTCGTATCGATAATCCAGTAGAATGCAAGGGTTAAGAGGAAGAAGGTCAAGACGTGTAGGACTTTATCGTTGATGATGGTACCGAGTTGGAGGGACGAGAGCCCTGCGTAGCCTGCGAGTAGGCACAGCAGGAAAAAGACGCCTGTAAAGCAGTCTTGTTAACTTTGGACATTACATGGGGAAGAGAAAAGGTCGCAAGATGAAGCTGTTCCCGAGAAACCCAAGAAGGGCCCGCGGGAGCTCCCGGGGTGAGAAATTGAACGGAAGAACAGCTACATGCATGCGACAAAGAGGAAGACGAAGCTATTGTATATGGAAAATGGATAAGACCAACCTGCAAAGGGAAGACGAATGCGCATATTCGAGAGATCGGTGAGTGCTTAAATAGGGATGGGTTGCATGATTATGACCTTGAGAGCAAGACCGTCGTGAAGATGTTGGACGAGGAGAGGTGTTCGTAGGAGGATGAGAGATGAGCTCACAGTTAGTGTCACAGTTCGTGGGTGGTGGTCCCAATGATGGGAAAGTTACCTACAGGTATGTACAGGTATACAAGTATACCATCTATAGCTGGCTGCTCTCCACCTGCTGGCAGCTGGGAGTCAGCCACTCTTCTTCTTTGCATACATAGAACTGTGGCGTCGGGTTTGACAGTCATATAGGTATGATTCGTAGATACCCAGGTATGTAGGTGCCTATTTACCTACAAACTAATCAGTGCTAAGTGGTCTGTGATATTTGTTGTTTATCTTATATTTGTAGAGCCTAATTAGATGGGTTGTGTCTGTGTCACGGTTTATTCATCGAATTCAATGTTGTCTTCTCTTTGATACTTGGTATATATGTACATACTAAGTATCCGTACCTGGCGTGGCTTAGCAGGCAATAGGTTGAACTTTCAAAAGCACGTGATTACACCACTACT